GTCCAAAGGTGCAGCTATTGGTCTCTCCACGTGCAGAAGAAAGAAGAGTGATCAGAACTGAACAGGCTTGAAGTCAGTTAGTCCAATGTACTAATGGAACAAGTGAACATCAGTCTTCACCACTCAGAGGTCAAAAGAACTAGATGGTACCTCATGACCACTAATACCAACTGCTCTGAAAGTTATCACATTAGAGGGTCTGGGACAGGGTGGGAGAAAATGGGGAACAACAACAACAATAAAAAACAGGGTTTACTGGTCAGAAAGAGACTGGAGGAAACTGAGATTATGGCCCTCAACCACCCTCATGGCCCAATTTTCAGTCAAGCAGTTTATAGGTTTATAGGGGGGACAACAACACTAACAGGTATGCTCACCATGGGATGCTCAGTCATTCAAAAGCAAAAGAGGCAAAACAGAGGGAATAGAAGCAAATGCTGTTGAATGATGATACATGGAGGGGACTGTAATCATTGCAATGAAACGAAATAGGATAGGATGAGTGTAAACGATGTTCTCCCATGTGAACTATCACTCAACTCACAATAAAAATTTAAAAAAAAAAAAAAAAAAGCAACATTTTCCTAAGGATAAAGTTGAGCAGGGATGAGGAGGAAGATAAGTGGAAGGCAACTAGGAACCACAGGGAGGAAGCAGGATACTGTAGTCACATGGAAGGTACTGTCGTTATTGAGATGAAACAAAGTGTATGTTGAATTAAAGTTAATGATCTTGTCTAAACCTTCACTCAATTCACAATAGAAAGTTAAAAAGAAAGTAAAATGGGAAAACAAATAAAGTCCTCACCACTGGACCAATAAATAACATCATGATAAACGCAGAAAAGATTGAAGTTGTCAAAGACTTCAATTTGCTTGGATCAACCATCAACACTCATGGAAGAAGCAGTCAAGAAATCAAATGACTTATTGCATCAGGCAAATCTGCTGCAAAAGATAGTAGTTTGAGGGCTGTGGTGCACCTGATTGAAGCAATGTTTTTTTCAGTAGTCTCATATGCATGTAAAAGTTGGACATTGAATAAGGAAGACCTTAGAAGAATTGATGCATTGAGATTTTGGTGTTAGAGAAGAATATTGGAAGTACCAAGGACTGCCAGAAGAATAAACTAAGAAGTACAGCCAGAAAGTCCCTTAGAAGTGAGGATGGCAAGACTTCTGACATGTTATCAGGAAGGACCTGTCCCTGCAGAAGGACATCATGCTTGGTAAAGTGGAGCTGCAGCAAAAAAAAGAGGAAGACTGCCAACGAGATGGATTGGCACAGTGACAGCAGCAATGGGCTCAAGCGTAACAACAATAGTGGAGATAGCGCAAGATCGGGCAGTGCTTTGTTCTGACTCAATGGCACCTAACAACAAGCAATAAAATGAAGTTGCCATTGAACTGACCCCATGTGTATGATAGTAGAACTGTGCTCCAGGGGTTTCAATGGCACATTTTTCAGAAGCAGATCACAGATCTTTCTTCTGAAGTGCCTCAGGACAGACTCCAACCTCCACGCTCTCAATGAGCAGACAAGCGTGTTCACTCTCACTAAGCAATCCTACCCTTGAACTAGGATGTCTGATGTGTGTGCTGTGTTTGCCCATTCGATAGGAGAGAATTTCAAAAAGCTCCTGGAAAACAGTCCATTGTGTTTGCATTCCATTTTACCACAGACGTTTTGAATCACAAAAAAGTTTCTACACCACTAATAGGTAATAGGTTCTACACCACAAAATTCATCTGTTGTTAAGTGCTGCTGAGTCTGTCCCAACCCATAGCGACCCTGCACAGGGTTTCCGAGGCTATAAATCCTTACGGGAGCAGAAAGCCTCATCTTTCTCCCGCGGAGCAGCTGGTAGTTTCAAACTGCAGACCTTTAGGATGGCAGGCCGATTCGTAACCACTACACTACCAGAGCTCCTTTCCCTCAAGGGACTAAAATGTGGGGCTATACATCTGTCTGAATTCTGTGTGCCTTTTCAAAGTGTCACGCAGCCCTGGGGCTTAAGTGGTTCACATCCAGCAGCCTCTTGATTCACAGTTTTGGAAACTCAAAGAGACAGAGGCAGTTCTGGTCTATTCTATAGAGTCACTATGAGTCGGAATCGACTCCACAGCAGTGGGTCTGGCTTTCTTTTTGGGGTGTGTGTGGTGGGGTTGCAAAGTGTTACAAAGCCCACTTGAGGTGACAGGAGCTTGTTCTCCCAATAGGAACCAGCCTGGTTGGTTTAGGAGCCACGGCTTCTACTACTGCCCTTGCCCTGTGAACAGCAAGGAAGAAGGGTACCTCCTCCTCATGAGCTGACATCCTCACACACAGGAAACCAAGAGGTAGACAGGAGAGATCCCCTCCTCCTGAGGTCCCTTCACAAAGGGTGAGGGGCCCCATGGGAGAGGGACCTGCAGCCTCTACTCTTCCAGCCACAGATCCATACAGCCCTCCCCCTGACTCCCTATCACCTGACCTCAACTGGATGGGACGGGATGCAGCCTCTCACCCTCCTTCTGCCCGTTCTCTGCTGCTGCTGCTGCACCAATCTCACTACTATCACTACCTCCCTGCCCCCAGCACTGAGCTTGGTCGCTCCAGGCATGAAAGGGTGAATTGTCTGGGGAGGGCCTTCCTCAAAGCCTCAGGCCACTCCCACTCCTCCCTCCAAACCATACATCCAATCAGTTGCCAAACCTCGGGGCTTCTCATTGGCACTGGCCTTTGAAACTGCCCCCAGCTCAGCCTCAGCCTCCGTCCCAGAGCAGCTTTAAGACTATACCCAGTCGTGTACCCAGTGCGTTAGCCCCCGACTTCATCATAAGTTCCACTTCCCAGCCACACTGGGCTCTTACCTTTCCTGAGTACTTTTACTGGTGCTGTTCACTGGCCGAGATTTCCCTTTCACTGTGTGGTAGGCATAATTCTAAGATGAACCCCCAAGGACCTACTCTCCATACAATCCTCCCCCACCTCAGCTAGTCTATATGGTGGGGCAGAGGTAAAGCCCCTAAGGTCAAAGGGCATAAAACTGCAGTAACAATGCCCTGTTGGCCTGGAAGCTGCAGGCTGCCAGGCCCCAGAGAGCGCTCAACCCTAGCAGCCAGAAGAACCAGGCCCCACAAACCACAGTGAATGAGGACCCAAAGTCTCAGGAAAAATGCTGATACTCAGAGTCTGCTGCCCAGCCCCCAAGGACAAGGACCAAGCACTCCTCACCTCCTTTTGGTCTGCCTGTCTGGGATCCTCCTCCTCCAGGTACCTGCCAGCCCGTCTAGTTGCAGCTGGTGGATTGGTCTGACCCTTATGTCATCTGAGCCCCTTACAGGGCAAGTGGGTTTACTGCCCCCACATCAGCACTGGGAACAGATGTCCTCACAGCCTGGTACACAGGCTCCTCGGGAGGACATGGATGCTACACAGCTGATCTCATAGCATAGGCCCAGGGACCCTGGTGGCCACATCCTTGACAAGACTCAGGTGATTCTAGGTGTGTTAGAGATTGGTACATGGACTGCTGTCCAGGTGAAACTGGCTGAGGGGAAGAGAGGCTAGAACCCTCTCCACCCGTGCCTCCCCACTCTCCTGTCCCATTCCCTGTAGCCTCTCTGAGGGCCTTCCCAGACACCACTGTCCAGCACAGGATACGTGCCCACTGAAAACCACATTCCATGGCATCAGCGATTTCCTGGGGACATGGGTATAAATGCAGGAAGTGCTCCCGCCTGGTGTAGGTGCTCTCTGGCCCATGTTAACTGTGGGCAAGGGTCTGCCTTGCTGCAAGACTGGTAATGGCAAGGGCTGGAGGTGACCAAACTGGCCATGTGGGCGGTCAGTCATCACAGTGACCCATACTGTGTGTTCTGGGCGGCGATGGGGACAGAGGATGCCCTATGCAGCACCAGCAGGGGCACCCAGACTGCAGACAGAGGCCCAGAGAGACAGCGGACAGAGGGAAGGAGACATACGTGCCTTGGCCGCTCTGTGGCACCCGTACAGTCAAGCTGCTGCACTGGCCAGAAGTACTTTCAGAGCCTCATGGTCCCTGCTGGCTTTCATCGTGGGGACTGTATACACCCCGGTCCTCCATCTACCCCCAATCCCCTCTGATCCGGGGGCAGGCCAGCTCCTTTGGGGTGCTCTATCTAGGAGCCCCAGAGTGGAGGTAGTAGCTATCACATGCATGTGCTCCAAGGGCAGGGCACTTACCTATGTGCTCCTAACTCTGCAGGAACTCAGACTGGGGGGAAATGCGTTCCTGACTGAACACTGCTGCTGTTCCACTGGCCTTAATTTCCCTTTCACTGTGTGTAGGCATAATTCTAAAATGAACCCCCAAGAACCTACTCTCCATACAATCCCTCCCAGGTCCCTGGAGGCCTAGTCAGGCCTCAATTTGTTAATCTGTAAAATTGGCCCTTTCCCATAGGAGCATCCCCAAGGGCTCTTCCCTGTGTGGGGCCTGGCAGCTAGCAGACACTTCCACTGCCATACCAGCACCAGTCCAGGCCCAAGGAAGGCAGGCATCAGGAGGGCTGTCAGGAGGAGCCAGAAGTGGGTTTTCATGTGCAGCGCCTGTTTCCTTCACTCCAAGGGAGCACATTCAGCACACCAGCAAACTGACCGTGTGCCACAGCACTCACTGCACAGAGAGACTGAGTGGGGGACACCCACTCTGACCCCTTACAGATGGGAAACCAAGTCTCAGAGAGAGGTGCTTGGGCTGGAATCCGAGGCTTACAACCACAATCCTGCTGAGGACCTCCGAGGGAGAGGGGAGAAGCCAGCCACAACAAGGTCAGTGGATGGAGCCCCACCACTAGAACAAACTCCCACCAGGACCTTGGTCCTACACTGGCACCTCTGGAGTTACTCTGTTGTGTGGTTACATGCTGAGGCCCCCCAGTGTGCTACCTCTGCCCACCTCCTCCCCACCAGCCTCAGGCTCAGAGGAGACGCAGCATCATGGCCCTAGCCTGAGGAGGACCACTGGGGATGGCTTACAAGTGTGAGCGAACCAGGTTCAGGAACAGGATGATGCCACCCAGCGTGTAGCAGGCCACATAGGGAGACCCCAAGGCCTTGCTCAGCCTGCGGGTCCTCTGCTCCAATCGTGCGACCTGCATGATGGGGAGAGAGGACAAGGAGGGCACGTGAGATGTTTATGGGAAGTCCCAGGGCAAGAGGCAAGTTCTTTCAGGAGTTCAAGGTACTGTGGTCCCAGTACCGAATAAGGAGAACAATAAGCAAGCTTGGTGAGGGGTGCTCCAAAACACGCACCCCACCCCACCCCCACCCCACCCCGACACACACACAGGCAGCCGTGAGTTCCTCTGGGAGCAAGCCCTCTAACCAAGAAGCAGAGACAAGAGCAGCTAGTGCTGAGAACACACCCTCTCCTCTCCCAGACTGCAGCCTGAGTTTTTAGCCACAGAAGCCTTTTCTCTTTTTTTCCATATCCCTCGGCTCACAGTGGAGAATCCATATAGACAGGCTGTCCCCTGAAGACTGCTGCTCCACACTACCCTACCTCCCTGCACCCCACTGGGTCAACACTGCTGACAGGGTACTGGGAGTCAGGGCAACAGGGCTCCAAGAATGTGGGTAAGTCACCCACCAGGGCTCCTGGAACATGGGGAAAAGACTTGTGCATATCGGTGTGTCTGTGATCTGTGTGTCCCCATGTGTGCTGTGTGAGTGTGGGGGGGTAGGGGGGACTTGTGCTTGTCAGTGTGTCTGTGATCTCTGTGTGTCCCCATGTGTGCTGTGTGAGTGTGGGGGGGTAGGGGGGACTTGTGCTTGTCAGTATGTCTGTGATCTCTGTGTGTCCCCATGTGTGCTGTGTGAGTGTGGGGGGGTAGGGGGGACTTGTGCATGTCAGTGTGTCTGTGATCTCTGTGTGTCCATGTGTGCTGTGTGTATGGGGGGGGGGGGTGTCTGTGTATCTATCTATGTGTATACCTGTGTGTCTATGTCTGTCTGGGGGATATCTGTACATGTCTGTGTATCTGTCTGTACGTGCATGTGTTTCTGAGTGCATATGTCTGTGTATCTGCATGTGCGTCTGTGTGTGTATATAAGTATGTGCATACCGACACACACAGAGCTGAATTGTTTGTGCGATGTGGTGGTAAGGTAAGGGAACAGGAGGAAACTACTAAGGAAAAGTATTGGGGCACTTGGAAAGTGATAAGATTAAAAACAAACAGAAAATAAACCTCCAAATGCAATGAAATGAGCAGCAGGATGTGAACCAGAAATAAAATCTATTTCCTTGTCAGTCAAGGCAGGATATTCACAAGATAAAACAGAAAACCTATCTCCTTGTGTGTCCAGGAGCCTCACTGTTCAACAACCCAGCAGGGGCTGCTAACCATCAGGTTAATGGGATTAACCTACTACTTAACCAGCTCCATTTCATCAGTGAAGACAAGACCAGGGGCTGATTGTGGAACAGACCATCAATTACTGATATGCAAATTCAAACTGACACTGAAGAAAATGAAAACAAGTCTACGAGAGCCAAAATATGACCTTGAATTTATCCCACCTGAATTTAGAGATCATCTGAAGAACAGATTTGATGCATTAAACACTAAA